TCCTGAGTGCTGGAATTAAAAGCATGCACAGTCACGCCCTGGCTAAAGCAAACTTTTAAAAGGATCAATAGATTCACAAAATTTTGAAAACATAGGAGTGAAGAATGAGAAAAAAATTGAAAATTAATACAGTTGACATTTTTAGGAGCTCTTTAGGATTCTGTTGCACTTCAAGTTCAAAGCCATGGTTTTCATGCCCCAAATTATAACTACCTGTGTTTACAGCAAAATGACTTCTAAATATGGAGATGCTGAATGGATGAAAGTCCTAAGGAATGGTTTTAACTCTGAGAGTGTTAAGACTTCCCTTGGTTTAAAACAAAACAAAACCCAAGAGGAGGCCCAGAATGCCTGCAGGGGTCTGAGAACTCTGGAGTCTATTGTCTCTTGACTGGACATTGATCTTTGTGCTTTAGGAAGCTGAGGCACCATGAAAACTGTCAAGTGGACCTAGATGCTTGCCCTCAGACCGGCACATGACTGGAGGTGCTGTGCACGTGAGCACTGACTCCTAGCTCCCTGTGTTACATGTATGCTCTCTGGATCTGTGCGGGGTCTTGGTTAGTTGGGTTCTAACTCTGGGCCCAGCTAGTAACAGACATTCAGTAAGTGTCATTACCATAATGGTGAACCTTCCACCCTCGGCATTTGGGCTCTTTGACTTTGAGTATGGTCTTTTTAACTACTGGCCTCCTCTGCTTAGACAAAGACAGTGTGCCGGAGGAAGACAGAGCGGCTAATGGCGGCTCCGTTTATAGCAGTTTGCTGAGCCATGCCTCCAGTGCAGTCCTCAGTCCCGCTCCACCTAAAACAGGCCCGGCGCCACCGCAGAAACTCAAGCATGTTTTGACATTAGTATTTTACATTTTTTGTTTGTTGTTTTTGTTTTTAGAGATAGTTGTGTGTGTGTATGTGTGTGTCTGTGTGTAACCCTGGCTGTCCTAGAACTAGCTCTATAGACCAGGCTGGCCTGGAACTCACAGAAAACCACCTACATCTGTCTCCCGAGTGCTGAGATTAAAGGCATGTACCACTACTGCCTGGCAATATTTTTATTTTTAATTTGTGTATACGTGTGTGCGGGCTTGTGTATGTGTGAGTATGGGTGCCTGCAGAGTTCAGAGGAGACCACTGGACCCCTAGAACTGGAATTACAGATGGCTGAGAGCTTCCTGGCACATGTGCTGGAGACAAAGCCCACACCTCTGCAAGAGCAACAAGCACTCTTAATGCTGAGCCCAACATTAGTAATTCATTTTACTTACATATGGATAACATTTGTAATTGCCTTGTTTTATATCTCTCTGTCTATTTCTATCTCTCTCTCTATCTCTCTATCTATCTGAGACACAGGTTTCTCTGTGTAGCTCTGGCTGGCCTGGAACTAGCTCTGTAGACCAAGCTGGCCTCAAACTCAGAGATCTGCCTGCCTCTGCCTCCCAAATGTTGGGACTAAAGGTGTGTGCCACTGTGCTTGGCTGTAATCTACTTTTTAAAAAGATTTTTATTTATTATGTACACAGTTTTCTGCCTGCATGTATGCTTCCCTGTCTGAAGAGAGCACCAGATCTCATTATAGATGGTTGTAAGCCACCATGTAGTTGCTGGGAATTGAACTCAAAACCTTTGGAAGAGCAGCCAGTGCTCTTAATCTCTGAGCCATCTCCCCAGCACCTGTACTCTACTTTTAAAAAGGACATTGTGAATATTTTTTTCATGTGAATTGTGATTAATGCTTATTGCCTGCCCCAGAATCTGTTAGATGGTTGTACTGTAATTCACGTAACTGATATTTGATTGTGAGACAGTTACAGTTCCCAGGGTTCTGCACAGTGGTGAGTATGATGCTGCAAACATTTGGGGCCTAAGTCTTAGGGCATGGCTCTGCTTCGTTTCCAAGGAGCTTCTAAAAGCAGAGTGCTGAGTCAAACGGAATCAACCTTTTTTAGGCTTTTGCCAAAATGTCCCCCAGAAAGGTCATGTGACTTTTCAGTTTGAATGGTTGAGACTATTTCCCTAAAGCCTTTTGGAAGTGGAAGTTAGGCTCCTGGGTTTCTGGAGTCTATGGCTTTCCTTCCCGAAGCTGTTCTCTGCTGAAGCATTCCCATTCCTGACTCCCAGGCTCCTTGAATTGCTCCCCTTCTAAAATCCACAATGCCATGTTTCCTAACCTTAAATGTCTGCCTGTTACCATTTCAAGCTTTTTTACCATTTCCCTCACAGACATTTGGAGTTGGCCTATATCGCTGTTTCCTACAAGTTTGAGTCATAACTAGAAGACAGATACTGGAGGGCAAGAACGTCCCTCCTCTGTGGAGGCCAAATTTCACCAAAGATGGAGAAAGAGCTGTCTCTGGTGGAGACAGTTTTATAAATTAGTAAGCTCCCTGGCCCCCGACCCTAATCCCCCAAAATAGCTGTAGGGGTAGGAAGTTCAAGGTGTGGAAAGTATTCTCTCTCTGGGAAGTGAGTTATTCTAGCCAGGGAAAAACCAAAACCACTTTAAGTATTTAAATATAGAAGGAGTCCAGCAAGACAGCTCAGTGAGTAGAGAGAGGTGCTTGTCCCTAAGCCTGGCAACCTTTGATGATCTGAGTTTGAACCCTGGAACCTATGTGGTAGGAGGAGGTTGTCCCCTGACCTCCACACTCATGTAAGCCCTAACAGACAGACAAACAGACAAACAAACAAACAAATGATAAACATAGAAGAAATGTAGGTTAGGGTATTGTTTATACAGGTGACTGGAGTATGCAGGAGTTGAACAGATATTGAGATAACATTGAGAGCTGCAGTCTTGGAAAGTTGATTCCACCCTATTCTAGAAGGACCAACAGTCAGGGTCAAGGGTCACTGGGAGCCTGGGACGGGTGTGAGCCTGCCTTCTGGAAGCGGGACTACAGATATTGTATAGGTATTTCTTGTCACCTGGGACAGAATGGAAGGGGAAAGTCTTCTGTATTTCCCCTTCTTCCCCCTCCCAGTCTCCCTCAATGTACCCTATTGGCAAAGAGCTGCTACACAGATGTTTCTTGGAATTGTATGGAGCCTGTGGTCGACTCTATGAACAGAGCAGAGCAAGAGAAGGGTGTGGGAAACAAACGGGCCAGGCTCAAAGACCTCTAGAGCGCCCCTTCCTGTTCACAGACAGGAGGATATCCATGCTAGCGGAGGAGAGGTTTCAACCGTCCGTCACTCACTTACCCCAGGAAGTCACGTAACTCCTTTAAGCTTCGGTTTTCTCATCTGCAAATGAGCCAGCATGGCACCGAAGCAGGGTGATCAAGTGTTGGAGGCCAGCCTGGGCTACACAGTGAGACCCTGCCTTTAAAAGATGGCTGGGCGGGGACGAGGAAGGTTGTTGAGAGAAACTGCATCTCATAGGAGCACGGGGCAGATGAAATAATGGCTTAAAGTAACAGCAAACACTTGACAAACGTTTCCCTTTCTTTCAAGAACTTATTTATGATTTCATGGCGAAGGGCAGTGGGGCGATTGGTCAAAGGGACAGAAGAGGCTTTTGTTCTGCCTGTGGCAGGAGATGTGACTGAGGAGCCTGGTAACCAAAGTGGGAGGCGAGCTGAGAAACACTGAAAGCACGCACAACTGGTCCACAACAGTGCTTGCCCTAGAGGAAATATTACCCCCATTGGATACTCAAAAAAGACCAATTTTGATGCATAGTAAGATGGGGATGTTTGCAGAGGAGGACACTGTGGTGTGTTTCTGCCCAGGGACGTGGGATGTGGGATGTGAGATGTGAGATGACAGGCTGTGTTTTGAAGGATGTGTATGAGTATCCAGGGGCATGCACAATAGTATAGCTGAGAAAGGAGTCTTTGGGGTGAGCCAGTGTAGTCATAAGGTTATTGTGTGATTCAAATGCTGATTTCTATGCCCGCTGTACCTGGATGCAGTCCTTGTCCTGAGAATCTCAATGTTGTGTAACCACTGTTCCTCAATTGTCCCCTGGTATGCCAATAAAGCAGCTTGTAGCCAATCGCTGAGCAAGGAGAGAATAGGGCTGGACTTCCTGCCAGCCGGGGGTGGGGGGAGGAGGAGTTAGAGGAGGAAGTAGGAGATTCAGCAATGGGCAGAGGTTCAGGAGCTATCAGCAGAGAGGAGCTAGAGCAGAAGAGCCACAAAGTGCAAGTATCTCTGGGATGTATGCTGGGAGAAAGCCAGACTAGCTTAGAGGGTTAAGAATAGAGTCATAACTGCTCAGTTATTGTGCTGAGGCTTGTTGGACAAATAATATAACAGAGTCTCAACTGTTTGGGTGATAACTGGGTTAAGAGAGAAACTGAGAAACACAAGATTTTCTTAAGAATAACCTTAACAAGGTAGTCTGCATTCGGAGGGGTCTTGAGGGGTCCATCATTGAGGAGGAGGGGATGGAGAAGTGGGACATAGGGCCGGACGTGGGAGAGAGAGCCAGGGTGTGAAGGGCCTGGTGTCAGAAGCTAAAGCTTCCCAGACTGTCTCAGGGCTGACGCACGTGGTTATGTCACAGAAGGCAGGGGGCCGAGCGCATCTCAGCACATCAGACAGTGTGAACCCGAGACAGCAGACCTTCTCCTTAATAGTAAACGCAGAATGCAAAAAAGTAACTAACTTCAGCTGACGCCAGAAGCTTAAGGTAAATATTTAAAACACTCTCATTTCCACAAGCTGGGAACATCAGAGGTGGAGTGAGGATTGTGGAGTGGTTGTGGGCCTGGGTTTCAAGGGTTCCGACTACACTCTGGTTGTGAAAAAGATTTTGTGTCACTGTAACTGAAAGAGAAATGTGAAATGATAACACCAGAGTGTTCTTACTTTGGGTGTTTCTCCACACAGAGTCTGTGAGCCCCGTGACACTAGTTCTTGGGGTGCAGGGCAAGATGACAAAACTGGCGGTCTGGGAGTTCCACGCCTACCCTCCCTCAGGAACGAGAAGTTACAGTCAAAGCGGCAGCTGTGTTTATGAGCGCACCCCCCATCATCTTTCCTGAACCCACCTTTCTCCTTCCGTATGCCAAGATGGCTTCTTTGAGGTCGTGCAGCGTGTGTAGCTCAAGGTCCCGCCTCTTCCCGTGACCCCTTCTCCTCTCTCTGGGTGCCCAGGCTGACACAGCTAGCCCTTCTGAGTAGAGGATCAGTGCCCCTTTTCTCGTGCTGAAGGTCTTAGGAAGGAAGAGGCTCCAGGAGTGCTGGCTGGCACCGTCCCCATCCTGGGCTTTGCTGACCAGGACATAGTCTTCAGGGGACTTCCAGTTCAAATAGTCCTTTAACAAAAGGAAAAGGCCTCGGCTGAGACACCGTGGAAGGTCCTTCTGCAGCAGACACTGTTTGTGCAAAGGTTCCTGGCTTTCTAAAACTGTTTGTGTGTGCACAGGCGCGAGCATGTGTAGAGGTCAGAGGGCAATGTGCAGGTACCATTATCCGCCTCATGGGCTTGCGGGATCACGCGAAGGTTGTCAGTGTGAGGGGTGCACATGCTTTTACTAAGCCATCTCACGGCTCACCCTGCTCCCCTCTTTTCAGTTGTTGATTTTTCTCTGAACGTTCATGTGAAATTTTGAAATAAAATTACCTTTAACACTTAGATTTTCTCTCCATAGATCTGAGTTGAATCTCTGGCTGGAGTGTGGCAGGCCTTTAATGCCAGCAGAGCCAGACTGAGCTCTGTGAGTTGAGGCCAGCCAGGCCCATCTAACTATCTGTCTGAGACAGCCAGGGCAACAGAACAAGACATTGGCTTGGAGAAATGGCTCAGTCTTAACGCTCTCCGTTGCTCATCCAGGGGACCCGGGTTCAGTTCCCAGAGCTCACACCAGGCAGTTCACAACCATCTGTAACTCTAGCGCCAGGAGAGCCAGTGCCTCTGGCCTCTTCAGGCACCTGAAGTCATGTGCGCGCACACACACACACACACACACACACACACCTCCATTTAGTTAAAAATAATAAAAAGAAATCTTAAAACACGCACACACACACACTCTCACACACAAGCTCACACGTGCACATGTGTGCACACATACACACTTTCACACACATGCACACACAGATACACACACACACAAACACATGCATACGCATACCGATACACTCAAACTCTCACACACGTATACACACCCACTCACACAAACCGATACAGTGACAAAATCAGTAGAACCCGGTGCACAAATCCATTTTGCCCACTCGGCTTTCAGAAGAGTTGTGCCTGTCCGAGGCTCTCAGAGGCACACAGTGGGGCTACAGGCTGGTTACGGTTCCCGGGCACCGTGGAGGAGCCCCTACGGCCCAGTCCTGGTCAGCTCTGCACAGGAGGAGAGCTGCGCCTTCTGAGCGCTGTCACATCGCCCCACGGCTACCCAGGAGCCTCTAAGGTGCCCACACGTCATGTGAGTGTGCGCCATTGGCCGCTGCAGGCCTTCGGAACTTTATGTGTCTTTGAACACAGTGAAGGTCAAGCCACCCTGACGGCGGAGGTCTCTGCCCCGGGTGAGTTCTTCGCTCCTGGCGGTCCTGAAGAAATAAAACTTTCGCACCGCCAGGGGATTCTCGCCGTCTCTTGGAAAAACCTTCTACGGTGAGATCTGTTTTGGCCTCCCGTGGGTACGAATCCCGTGGGTTGAGTTCCACAGCGTTCCAAAAAGCCACCGAGAGGCCCAAACCCTCACGTACACTGAAAGCCAGCGGCAGTCAGGCCGGGAAGGCTAGTCCTGACCCAGATGTTTCTGGATTCTCCCCCAGGCCGGAGCAGAGGTGGCAGGTAGCGGTGGGAGGGAGGCAGATGGTTCCCGTGGCAGTTCTGGGGCTCAGGCAAGCAGGGAAGATCTACCAGTGACCTCCAACACTCACCAACCAAGACAGAACCCCCCCCCTCCCAACCCCCCCTCCCAACCTCCCCTACCCTCCCAACCCCTCCCCCCTCCCAACAAACCCCCTCCCCCCCCCCCCCCCGAAGCTCTAAGGCTCACCTCTGGTTCAAAATAGACTTCCAGCTTCTGTTTGTTCTGGACCAGTTTCCCGTGTCCTCGGCTCAGGAGGGAGAGGGAGAGCATGTTTCCCCTGCCTGCGCCTCTCAGGGGCAGGTCACCTCAGTCCTGAAGGCTGAAAACTGGTCCCACCTCAGGGTTTCCAAAGCTCAGCAGCAAGCCAAAGGACACTGCGCACACCGGGCCCTTTATGAAACACGTTTCCCCTCGTACAGCTGTCTGGTAACGGGCAGCCACACAGCCGAGGCAGGGGGCATCTCTGTGGCGAGAAAAAGCAAAGTGCAAGGCCTGGCTCCTCAGCAGTGTGCCCTCGGCTCCTCTGCCCTTGTTGTCCCTGAGACCTGGTTGCCCTGCTACAGACCGCGTGCACCTAGAAATCTGGGCCAAGGCACCATCCTTCCCATTGTGAGTGGAGGTTGTTTCCGGTTGCCATGGCAGCATAGGGACATGCAGTTTAACCCAGGAAGGCCGAGGAGGCTCAAGACCCTGCTAGGTCACTGGCTGGGGTGGGTGGGTAGGGGGTCTGTCCACTGGACATTGAAGGGACCAGACTCAAATACGGAGTCCTGGGGGCGGGGTGGGGGGGGTGGGAGGCCATGTTGAGTTGTCTGTTTTTGCTATGTGCTCTCCTTGCTTTCAGCAAGCGTCTTCCCCTTTCTCCTGACACATGAGCCTGTCACTGTCAACTAACCTTTAACAGACTCAGTGAGTCCTCTAGGTCACCCCAAGCTGCCTGTGACATTTCCTTTGGCTGGGCCCCAGGATCCCCTGAACTAGGAAAGGAAGCCTCATTTTACTAATGGCTGCTCTGCATGAGTGACTGGGAGACACCAGGAAGCTCTGGCTTTCTTTGCATACCTGGTTCTCTAGAGGGGACATTCTTGTTGTGCTAACACACACACACACACACACACACACACACACACACACACACACGCACACACCGTGATCGTACCACTTTGGGGACTAGAATGTTAAATGTCTTGCAAGGTATGACTGTCTTGCATAATGAATATCGCTTGGCACCCTGTTTAGCAGCACTGAGTGGACACAAGATGGAGAAGGGACAGGAAGTCCGAAGGCCCTCGTGCTGCTTAGGACCCAGTTTTGGCTGCTTGTGGAATCGCCCCCTGCTGGTTGATATTCAGAAGTGCAACAATTTGTGGGCCCACAGCTGTGGAGGGGCGCCCAGAGTTGGACCTCAGGCTGTGAAATGATTTTTGAGTTTATATGGAGGAATTAAGATCCTGAGTGTACGGGCTGGGAGAGATGGCTCAGTGGTTAAGAACACTGTCTGCTCTTCCAGAGGTCCTGAGTTCAATTCCCAGCAACCACATGGTGGCTTACAACCATCTCTACCCTTAACTGTTCTCTTCTAGCATGCAGGTGCACATGCAGATAAAGCACTAATATAAATGCATAAAATAAATAAATAAAATCTTTAAAAAAAAAAAAGATCCTGAGTGTAGAGGTTCAAAACTGAGTTTAGTCAAATCAACATCGAGAAAACTCTTCACCCCTTCGAAGCTGTAACCTAACATAGGAAGGTAAAGTCAGTGTCGGTAATCGAATGGAAGGCTCAGAAGTCCTTGTACATCAATGTGCATTTAAAATGATGCGTCGTCCTTGCTAGGCAGTGGGGGCATACTGCCAGCATTTGGGAGGCAGAAGCAGGTGGAACTCTGTGGTTCAAGGCCAGCCTGGTCTACAGAGTGAGTTCCAGGACAGCCAAGGCTACACAGAGAAACCCTGTCTGGAAAAACAAAATAAACAAGCAAACAAGAACAAACAATAATAACAAATAAAAATAAAATAAAGTGGTGTGTGCTCAGTGAAAAATGGTATAAGAGCTCCTAATAAAAAAAAATAAGTGCATAATCAACATATTGTCCAGGAAGTCTACTTTTGGGTATATTCCCAAAAGAAGTTTCTGAAAGCAGGCAGGGTCTAAGGTTTGCTTCCCCTGTGTTGACTGCGGCACCAATGGCAGCAGTTAAAATGTGAAACCAATCCAGTTATCCACGGACACACAGATGGTGAAACAAAACGTGTATGTCTACAAGAAAACATTTTCAACCTTAAAGAGAGAAAGAAATTCAGACAGGGACTACAGTCCTGATAACCCTTGAAGACATTATGCTAACTGAAAGAAGCCAGTGACAGTACTGGTCAAATAGCAGCTGGTGCTAAACATGAGTAGTCAGATTCACTGAACCAGGAAAAGGCATAGTGACTGGGGCCCAGGGGCTGGCATGGAGGAGAGCGAAGTTAGTGTTCTGTGGATGATGTGTTTGGGGAAAGAAAAGCGTTCTGGAGATAGCCTCACCACAGGCTGAAGGCTCTTAGTGCCAAGGAGCTGTTAACTTAAATATGGTAAAATGGTAAACATCTGTAATAATGCAATTAATTTTTTTCAGTCATATAGCAAAAAATGGAAAGACTGAACCGAATGCTTGCTGATCCAAACGGATCAGCGTTCTTATCCTGAAGTGACTGCCTCACAACAGGTGGGCCAAAATCCTGCTCTAAGGGCTCTAAGGCCACAGTTGCCCTGCCTTGCCCTTCGATGCCTCTTCAAGGCATAAAAAAGGCCTTTGACAAAGGTTTCCCAAGTGGTCACTACAGCTGAGAAGAAACCCTAGCCTTGAAGGGCATCCGGGGACAGCTGTGTTCCGGAGGTGGAGGACAGGAGATATCCTAGGAGGAGGGGTCTGTGTGGAAGAGAGAGGGCATGGATGGCAGGGGCGTGTGGGAGGAGCTTAGGGACAGAAAGGGCAGAAGTTCACTGGGAAGAGGTGAGGAAAGGGAGGGCAGAGGATGAAAGAGGACGTTAGAGGAGGCCTGGCTGTGACCTCTCTGGCAGCCGTTGGCCACGAAGGTCATATAGTCACTGGCTTTCACTCCTTGGGTCTTTCCTTTCTTTTTAAAGACAGGCCGACCTTGAAATTGCTGCGTCGCCATGGTGATCTGGAGTCCCTGTTCCTCCTGCCCCCTCTGATGGGGTTTTCAAAGCAGGGGCTTTGGAAAGGTGAGTCTGAGGAACTTGTAGAAGGTGGCCCGGAAGAGGGCGCTTATCTCATGAACCTCTGGGTGAACCCTCAGGACCAGTCCTCCCTTGGACTTGAATGAACTTGTCAAATAAGTCAGGAAACGACTAGTCAGTCGCTAAATGGCCATGGAGTAAGATATGGAAAGGGAAACACCATCGGCTGCGAGAAAATAGAAATCTTAACATTTTGGAGATGACACTGCTTAAAAGAGTCAGAGAGCTCAGAGGAGCATGAGGGAGGGAGGCAGAACGGGAGCCTCAGCGTCCAGCTGAGGGCCAGCTCTCTCCCTCCAGGTCTTTGTGCGAGCCTGCTTATGGTTTGCCCACAGATGGTGACTGGGACACCAGGAAGTGGCTGTTCCAGTCTAGTTTGAATATCTCACTTGAGAAAATACTCAGGTGGCCATGCAGCCCTCTCAAGGTCAGGGCAAGGCAGCCAGGCCACTCCGGGGTCGTCATCTGAGGGCAGACAGCCTGGGGCCCACAGCAGGCCCCTCCTAAATCATCATGTTTACATCCATCCTGTTTAATATGGACAACAAGCAGATCCACGGATCAATTAATAGGCATTTAAAAGCATTTACTCAGTCCCCAAACAGTTTATGGAAAGTGCATTTAGAAAGCAATCGGGGTTATTGCCGTTCTAAAGTGCTTGGGGATCCCAGATGAAAGGCGGTCGTAACCGGGAAGTATTTATAACTCAAGAAGGATCCCTCCACACCCACGTCACACAACACCGCCATCATCCCCCGGCAATGCCTGACCTGTCAGTCCGCACAGCCTGTCTGTTTAAATTACACTGTAAACGCCATGGGGCGGAGACCTGGCTTTTTATGGTTTGTAAGGCACCATGAATAACCATGGTACTCTGTAAATAAATAAAAACCACATGAAATGGTGACAACAGATGCCGCATCCCCCGTGTGTTTGAGAATCTGTCCCTGGTCTCAAAGTGCTTGGCTTCGATGGCCGCTCTGCAAAAGCGGCCTGGGAGGCAGCAACAGGATTTTTTTTTTTTTTACCCCCCTTCAGAGATGTGTTATCATGTGGGTTTATTTGTCTTCTGTCTACAAGATCCACTGGTGCTCTCGTAGTTTCCGAAGAGCACAGAGAGAATAAATAGGTTCACAAAGCCACAGAGCAAAGCAGAGGGGACATGGGACCTTCCCTGATTTTGGTTCTAACCTGTTGTACTAGAGTGATGGCAACCATCCCCAAGAAAGTCCTTCAGGGCTAGGACACAGCTGTCCTAGGAGCTGGGACCATGGCCTCAGCCTCCCCTGCAGCAGTAGGGGGCTGCTGTGAAGATGGAGGTGGGATGCTGGCCCCTGACCTGACTTCCCTCTCTCCTTCTGCTCCCACATCGCCAGCCTGGCTTCTCCTTGCTTTACCTTGTGTATCCCCAATACCTCCCTTTGCACATAGCAGCAGCTCACAAAACCACCGGTGTTTGCTTGGTAATGTACTCAGGGAGGTGGGTAATTATCTTTGAGCCATTAAGAGAAATAAATGGAGGAACATTAGGTTAAAGCCTGTCTTGGAAGCTGGTAGTTTGCCTGGCCACGGTACAAAGCTTCGACTCACAGGTTAAAAACGCCAGCAACCTGAGACTTGGTACACACAGAGAGCTTGCTAGCAGCAGTGTGGGAGGGTCAGCCCTCTGACTTGTTGGAAGAAGTATGGGCTTGCTCAGATACTGGAACTGGTTTCTAATGAGGCTCAGGCCAGAGATGGAAGGAGACGATGCAAAAAGCAACAGAATACTCTGGAACCATAGTAAGGGAGAAGGTGGCTGTCATGGGCCCTGTGTCCTTTCCATTCTTAGGTATAAATCACACCCTGGCTGGTCCAGGAAGCAGATCTGCTTACTCAAGTTCTGCTTGAAGGATTTGCTTTGGGAGCCAGTAATGCTTGGTTCCTCTAAAAGAAAAACAACAACCACAACAAAAAACCTTTGCTCTAGGCTTCATGTTCTCATCAGAGATATTCATAGTAACTGCACACTCTTCAATTTATG